CCTTCCAGCTTCGTGGGTGGGTGGGGGTCTGGGAAGGAGCACTTGGATGTGACACTTACGCCTCCCACCCTCGCAGCAGAGACTGAGGCTGAGCGACGCCCCGCGAGGGCTCCTGCGCTTCGGGACAAGAAGCGCCCCACGTTTGTCAGTTTCAGACACTCCGCGAAGGCTGCTTCTCAGATCAGTTTCCCTGCAAGGGGCCAGGGACTGGGGCAGTGGGGAGAGCACTTGGCAGATCTGAGAAAAACCTCTGGTGCCCTCCCCTCCCCTTCAGTTCTTGGGGGAGCAGGGAGTGGCGGGGAGTTCCTAGTCAGGGGTGACGCTAGGGAACCTGGAGAGCTCGGTGGTGCCTGCCAGGCACAGAAGGGCCAGCACCAGATGCGAGAGAAAAGGGAACCAGAGAGGAAGAGAGAGTTCCTCGTTTCTGCCACCTCGGGGTAGCTTTTGCCTGCTTCCTAGTGTGTAGTTTGGGCCACCCATCTGTTTTGGTAAAACAGCAGCAACCCCCTTGGCAGTTCTGTTCCCTCAGCAGTGAGTCAGTCGCAACAGCACAGCTGTCTCCAGGATCCAGACTTTGCAATTTGGTCAGATCCTTCTTCCCATTTCCCTCCTCCTCTCAATCCATATCCCCTTCTTGGGTCCCCTCTTTCTCCCATTCTGTGTGTCAGGCGTACCTAAAAGTTCTCCAGCCCTCCATATTCTCATGCATTTCATAAACAAACCTGGCTATTTATTTTAGGGGGGGAGGGAGGAATTTCTTCTGACTGAACTTACTCAGGGAGCTTGGAGGAAACTTTTGACGTATTTCCTGTCTCAGGGTATGGCATTTGTGGGAAGGTGAAAATTTGCAAATTAACAAGTGATAACTTCTGCCCTGGGAAGTTCCTGACCTTTGAGATGAGAAACTTCCAGAAGTAGCTCTTCAGGGTTCATGTGAGGAAGGAACAGAGAGAGCAGAAACTCCAAAGAGGCCACAGATCCACCAGGATTCTCCAGAACTCCCACGCTGTGAGGCTCTGAAAAGGTTGGAGGAAGAGGGGTATCCAGTCCAGGTTGCTTCTGTACTTTTTGGAAACCTGGGCAAAAGTGAGAAACCTGTGCATGTGTCTTAATGCTTTGTTTGGCACAAGGGCAGGATGCTAACTGGGTGAAAGATGCCAGGCTGAGTACTAGGTGGGCAAATGGGGGAGTTAGAAAGCTTCTTTGTCTTGGTACTGCCTTTTACTGATGAATGACCTCAGTTAAGTTGCTTAACCTTTCTGGGCCTCAGCTACTTGTCTATCAAGTCAGGAAGTTGAACTAGATGGTCTCTATGGAGCCATCCAGTTATAAAATTCTGTGGCTTTTAATGCTGGCAACACTTGAGAAGGCATAAATAAAAAAAACACCCCTTTTTCTGATTCTGTGTGACCATATTAAGTGTGTGTGTTTTCTCTTTTAAACATCTTGTCTTAAACCAGAGTAACTCTTTCCTACTTTCAGGATAATCTCATTTCTTCCTGACTTCCACAGGATCCTATTAGTAAAAGCTGACCCAAGCTTTGAGTCTTTGCCATATTGTTTGCTCAGAAGAGGAAAGCTTAGCAGATGCCATTCGCTGCCAGCAAATTGTTTGTAACCTTCAGATAAACCCAAAAAGGGGTTCCCAGGTCCCAGGATCAGTCAATCTACCATCCAACATCCCTCCCTCCC